TTTCGCCCACAAACAAAGATTTTTATTGGAAAAAATATGCTTGAAACATTAGGAAAATGAATTTTTTCAATTGGCAATTTTTTTGCGTTTTGAAAAACATATAGGGGAGGATGGGGCAAGGATACTTAGTGGCTGAATTGATTAAACGGCTTGTTCAAATTAGCGCGTCATTCATGATATTTTCGCGTCTTAACACCGAAAGATGATAGTAAAAATTGGAAATCAATCTGCCACCATTTGCGAAGTTAGGAGTTTATTTTAAAAAAACACCTGTTTTTCAAAAATGTTACCGGAATCTTTGTCATGTTTTATCATATTGTTTTCATATCATATTGATATGAATATCATATCATATTGTTTTTCATATTCTTTATTCTTTATTCTGATATACAGAATAGTGCGTAATTATATACGGTCAATAGACCAAGAAATTGGTAGTTGTCTGAAGAAAATTGGTTAAAACTGAGATTCAAGTTCAGACGAATTTTAATGCAAGAATTAAAATTCAGAAAATGTTCAAAACATATTGTTAATACTTCAGATATCAATATTGAATAGTCTAAATCGAATAGAATTAAGAGAACGAAAATCTACTGATATTGAAACAAATAGAAGCAATTTTTGAAATCTTGTCCGACATATTGGTTCCGCCATTTTCAATTTCAAAATTCTTTTTTTGATCTGACGTCTGATTCGTAATTAGCGACCCTTAAAACCCCTAAGTAACGTTTTTAAAGCAAATTCAAACAAATTTTTTAAAATCTCGTCCGCCATATTGGATCCGCCATTTTGAATTTTGAAAAACTGACATGGGATTCGTAATCAGCGACCCCAAAAACCCCCAATTTACAATATTGAAGCAAATTCAAGCAATTTTTACAAATCTTGTCCGCCATATTGGATCTGCCATTTTGAATTTTGAAAATTTTTTAAATCTGACTTCTGATTCGCAATCAGCGACCCCGAAAACCCCCAAGTAACAATATTGACGAAAATTCAAGTAATTTTTTAAAATCTTGTCCTCCATATTGGATCCGCCATTTTGAATTTTGAAAAACTGACATCAGATTCGTAATCAGTGACCCCGAAAATCCCCGAGTAACAATTTGGATGCAATTTTGATAAAATTTAAAAAAATGTTGTTTGTTTAAAAATTTGTCGGCCATATTAGATCCACCTTTTTGAATTTTTTAAATCTGACTTAAGATTCGTAATCAACGACCCCAAAAACATAAAAAACGATGTGTTTGTTAAAAATTATTCACTAAATGTTAATGAAATGTATAGTTTGTAACTTAACTGTTTTTTTAAACAGTCAATGTTTATTCTATTGTTTAAAATAAATATTACAACTTTTTGTAATTTACTATTTTTTTAATTGTAGCCACATCCATTCGGAATAGAAAGCAATTTAGCTCATGGGCTTCAATGTATCGACAGCACATCTGCTCTAATACAGAAACCTGCTTAATTTTAAAAATATTTTCGAAATTAATTAATAATTTCAAAATTATCAAAGAACTCAGAAAAAACGATGGTGGGATACGAGCCCACGACCTTTCCATTGCCGGTAGACTGCTCTGACCACTGAGCTACATGCACCCCGAGACTCTCCGAGTTCCCTGAAATATACTATCCCTTCCTACATTATTTAATGATAACGTAGGAAGGTTCTTAAAGATGGTAAGCCTAATTTTACAATTTATAGGCAATTATAATTGAAGGAAGTGAATTTATCATTGGGTGATTAAATTTTAAATTTGAAGAAGTTAACAATTTTCCCGAATCAATCTACACAAATAAATTAAATATCTTAAATAAGAACCTACCTACGTTATCATTAAAATAATGTAGGAAGGGATAGTATATTTCAGGGAATTTGGAGAGTCTCGGGGTGCATATAGCTCAGTGGTCAGAGCAGCCTACCGGCAATAAAAAGGTCGTGGGCTCGTATCCCACCATGCTACCGTTTTTTCTGAGTTCTTTGATAATTTAAAAAATATTTTTCAAATTAAGCAGGTTTCTGTATTAGGGCAGCTGTGCTGTCGATACATTGAAGCCCATGAGCTTATCGAGATTTATTTAAGATATTTAATTTATTTGTGTAGATTGATTCGGGAAAGTTGTTAACTTCTTTCAAATTTAATTACTTTTATTTTGTTAGTAAACTTAAAAAATTTACATTTGAATAATATTATAATAATAACATTTATTAAATTCAATTTAACATTTTAAGGAAGTATAAATTTGTTATTCTTAAAAAATGGTTTATAAAATTCAATGTTAAGTTTAAAATGTATTGGAGTAGGAAAAAAAGAGAAAACATTTAGAAGAACCAATAAAATCAACACAAAAAGACGAAAAATTTAGTGTTGGCTGCCTAACCCCACGAGTACTTTTTTAAGAAAATATCCACAAAACCCGTAGTATTAAAAATATCGCAATTCCATTAACACCATCGTCTTCGGCACTAAATTCTGCATTAAAAATCACTTTACAAGAATTTTATTCGTGTAACTCTATTAACTAAAATCACCAAAATAACTCTTAGAAAAGTTACATCCAAAAAGTCTGTTTTCATAAATGATACTGTCATTGCTAAACTGGTGCAGCAATAATGCCCATTTGTTAGCAACTAAAGTAAACTACCATAAGCAGTCTACATTATCAATAGCGCACTATTTGATAAAATTATGCAGAAATAAGAAACCTCGCCCCGTTCTCCTCTAACCTATGTTAAAAATTTGAAAGTCGAAGTGAGATAGATTCTTCTTCCACGATAGAAAAATTTTAATTATAATGTTGGGTATTATAATTATACAATTTTTATGGCGAAATTTGAAAAAGAATATGCAATAGAGTCTATTTTTCTAAACAGTTAAAATTTAATAAAAAATGAGTGAGATATATGAGATACCTTTTCGATGCGCGGCTTCAATTTACACTTATTAGTTTTGATCTTTTTAAGAGTTAGGACACATTGCGTTTATGAATATACGACGCATCAAAATTGTAAGCTTATGCTAGACGTCATTAATATAAAAGAACTGACTCAAAACACGGAAAATCCAATAGTAGATTATACATATTGTTTGCGACAAATTACATGTAAAACAGGAAATGTAAATTGTCATTTATATAAACGCTTAAAGTGTCCAGATGTTTCCGAACTTTCGAAAGAATACTTGTCCGTAGTGAAGTAGCGTAATGAAGAACAAATTTTTTATCCCACATGCACAAAAATGGCGCTTTTAGATAGCTGACGACAGGGAGTAAAGTCACTCATTTGTTCGACCATATGAAAATGGCGTCCATTTTCTCCCAAGAGGCAAACATAACAGCTGATCCCATGCGTTATTTTTGCCCATGGGAGAAAACGGCCGCCATTTTCATATAAGTCGAACAAGTGAATGACTTTTACTCCCTGTCGTCTGCTATCTGAAATCGCCACTTTTGTGCATTAGGAATAAAAAATATCGTAATTAACACGGGAATAAAGGCAGCCAATTTGTTTACGATGATTTTTGTGACACTCGTTCCGGTCTCGCGGCGCCCTCGACCTCCACACTCGTGTTACAAAAATCACCGTAAACAAATGGCTGCCTTTATACCCTTGTTGCTTAATATACTATTATTCAAAACAAGTATGTAATCCCCGCTTTCTCGGCGCGTTTTTGAGACGCAAAGCCATGCTTTCCCTCTCAAAAAGCACCGAGTAACCGCGGATTACATTCTCGTTTTGTATAAAATGTCGTGTGTACACTGAAAAAAATACATGAGACATTTTCAACTACATCCCCTTAGTAGAGTAAAAAGTAATAAAACGAACTACTTTTTTAGTTAGTCTGGCTACTTTTGATACTTATTTTAACTGTTTTATGTAGTTAAAAATTATTAATTAAATTAATGTAATTTTACAGTTAACTTTGTAACTGCAGGTATGTTATAGAAATTACTACAGAAAGTAGTAGATTCTACTACTTAAAGTAGTTCGATAGACTAATTTTGTAGTAGTTTTTACTTCTTCTAGGAGTTGAATTATTTTCCATGTAATTTATGTTATAGATTTTTATAGAAGATTATCAACTGTGAAAAGTTGTAAATGCAACTACTTTAAGTAGTAAAATTAACTACAGTTATCAGTTGAACTGTGTCTGGAATGCCTTTAAGTATTAAGCAACTCATCGAAGCGAGCGAGCGTGGTTAGGTGGTTGGGTTATCGGTTTACGAATGTTAGGGTCGAGCGTTCAACTCCCGACGTTTAGAGATTTTTCTCCGTTAGGTATATAGACATTAAATAAATAAGGTATAGGTAAACAAAAGTGGGTAGGGGGAAATATAAAAATATACAACTCGATAATATTTATAATAAATTATAAATAATTTTATTTTACCATTTTCAGTAGTTATTTTTTTACTGAGTTATCTTAGTAACTTTAACTACATATCAGCAGTTAATTCTACTGCAAAACTGTCATTGGTTCCTATTTAACTAAGAAAAGTAGTTAATGCAACTGTATTATCACTTCATTCAACTACATATCTGATAATTAATGTAAGTTCAAAATTATCTTTGGGGACTTATTGAACTAAGGAAAGTAGTTAAAAAGTAGTCAAATCTACTAAGAATTTTTTTCAGTGTACCTCGGACGCACGCATTTCTCGTCCTCGCTTGTTTACAGTACTCGGCTTCGCCTCGTTCTGTAAAATCAAGCTCGGACGAGAAACTTGCGCTTTGCGTCCTCGTTGCACAATGTACTATTTTTACAAAACGCGATAAGGGAGAAAGCAACGCTCCATGTTAGGCGCCTTACCGCGAGTTATTTGCGCGCAATAATCTTTGGAGCGCGAAGCACGACGACCACTTCTCGCACGCAGATTTTTTTCTAAGAAGTTTAAATCCAGATAAATAATATTTAGTATTTATGTAGCATTAAACAAAGAGAATAATTATTCTGGTAATAATTATTTTTTTTATGAATGCAATGTTTTTAACTTACCATGTAAAAAAGGGCAGCCAGCATAGAAGAAATGTACCCATTATTATCCCTAATGTTCTGGCAGCCTTGTGTTCCGCTCTCCAACTTTTCGATTGTTGTCGTATTGTTGTGCCTGTAACAAAAAATTTTGTTTACTTATTAATTACAAAACTTTTAATTCTTATTAACAAAATGAGGAAAATTGTTTGTTTATTACAAAAAAAATAAAGACGTTAATTTGTCGTATATTATATAAAAAAGTGAAAGATAGTGTTATTTCTTTTACCTTTTACACGTCTTCCAGAAATCGAAAAAAATAATTTATGAAATAGAAATTACATACTTTCAATCAAAATAATAATCGTGAAGAAATCATCATTTGAAGTAAAATTTGCAAGTTTGTCATTTGATTATTTTAGTACAACTTCGTTAGTTGCGAACATAATGAGAAACTTGTCAGAAATACCAAGTAGATTCACTTTGCTCGAATGCATCATTTGTCTGTTCAAGTGAGACGAGTGTAATCCCCGTACTACTGACTTTGCATGTTAATAGAAAGGGAAACGAGAAGAAGACGAAAGTCTCCTTTAAATAAAAGAACATCTCTTACTTTAGAGATTTATGATCTCAAGTTTTTTTCCAAAGTTCTTAAGATTTCCCTTAATTAGTAAAACTATTCTATGAAAGTTTTTCAATAGAAATATGTGAATTTTTTTTATAACAATACCTTTTATGCAAGACCATGTATGTATATTAATTTATATTATTATATTATATATTATACCGACAGATTAGCTCGGTCGGATAAATACCTGGCTCGGCGGACGCTTAGGACCAAGGGTACTTGGTTCGCGCCCATTAGCCTAGGATTTTTCCGGCAAGTGAGATAATCTGAGCGGGAGGTTTGACGTCGAAGTATAATGATGCACTGAAAAAAATTCTTAGTAGATTTGACTACTTTTTAACTACTTTCCTTAGTTCAATAAGTCCCCAAAGATAATTTTGAACTTACATTAATTATCAGATATGTAGTTGAATGAAGTGATAATACAGTTGCATTAACTACTTTTCTTAGTTAAATAGGAACCAATGACAGTTTTGCAGTAGAATTAACTGCTGATATGTAGTTAAAGTTACTAAGATAACTCAGTAAAAAAATAACTACTGAAAATGGTAAAATAAAATTATTTATAATTTATTATAAATATTATCGAGTTGTATTTTTTTATATTTCCCCTTACCCACTTTTGTTTACCTATACCTTATTTATTTAATGTCTATATACTATATATATATAAAATCTCTAAACGTCGGGAGTTGAACGCTCGACCCTAACATTCGTAAACCGATATCCTAACCACCTAACCACGCTCGCCCGCTACGATGAGTTGCTTAATACTTAAAGGCATTCCAGACACAGTTCAACTGATAACTGTAGTTAATTTTACTACTTAAAGTAGTTGCATTTACAACTTTTCACAGTTGATAATCTTCTATAAAAATCTATAACATAAATTACATGGAAAATAATTCAACTCCTAGAAGAAGTAAAAACTACTACAAAATTAGTATATCAAACTACTTTAAGTAGTAGAATCTACTACTTTCTGTAGTCATTTCTATAACATACCTGCAGTTACAAAGTTAACTGTAAAATTACATTAATTTAATTAATAATTTTTAACTACATAAAACAGTTAAAATAAGTATCAAAAGTAGCCAGACTAACTAAAAAAGTAGTTCGTTTTATTACTTTTTACTCTACTAAGGGGATGTAGTTGAAAATGTCTCATGTATTTTTTTCAGTGTGTGCACCGTCGATTATTGCCCGGTACACACCATTAGAATTCGACTGTCGATAAACCGGTTGTACTCGGAGAGGTTTTCTACAGTTTCCCTCTCCACTGGCGTGAAAACCCATTAGACGGGTGGTCTAGGCAAATGCGAGTACTCCTAATTTCAAGACGTTCTGTAGACGCATAAAATTTAGTACACGGAAAAAAATTTCCTGTGAAAATTACAAGATTTCCTGTGCCATCTATGAACGGCGGTTGTAGTATCCACAAACGGCTGAGTTTGGGAAATACACAAACCAGAATGAGTCTTGTCACAAACTTCAGTTTATGATTCAACAGCTTAAACAGTCACGCAGCAGACGACAAGCAGACGTTCACTTGAATTTTCTTGCGCATGCGTGGATTTCTTGGTGTTATAACAGTTTGGTTTGTGGTACACACAAACCAGCTTGTTGGAAACACAAAACTCGCCTGCATAAAGCACAACTTAACCTATTTGTATATTTTACGAAAAAGTTTGTGATTTCTATAAGAAATTTTTTTCCGTGTATAAGTATAGTATGTAAGAAAAATTCCACGGGGACACTTGTAACGCTAGAATTAAGGCAAAAGACGAGTGTATAAATAAATAAATATTTAGAAAATATATATTATATATTAGGGGAGAATGGGGCTAAATGTTAAACTGTCAAAAGAGTTAAAATTCATTATTAAGAATAAATTGCGTCGCGGGCGCCTCGCCTCACGCCGGTTGCCACGCGGCTCAGTGCAACCGCGACGCTGCGCGCCGCAATTTTTTTTTTGCAATTTAATAACTCAAAAACAAAAAAAGGACATTCTGAAAATTTACATGCCGATAGGAAAAAAACTCAGCTTTCGTTTGCAATAATTTATTTTCAAATAAAACGGACCGATTTTTGGGAAATTGAAAATTAAATATTAATTATAAAAAATTAGAGTAAATTTTTAAAATATTAAAAAAATAAAATACACCATTGGAAAGAGAACGAAAAAACCTTTCAGAAACATATTCTAAAAAAATTTTTCCCATTACAAGTATGTTCAGAAAAAATTCACAAAGTAGCCGATGTTAACAAAATTGGTCAAATTGACCCTCCTCTACCCCCTCCAAATTTTCGAAAAAATCCAAAACAATTTTTTGGGCACATTTCTACTTGATAGAACAACAAATTCCCTGAGTTTCAATTTTTTTCAAGAAGTTGAAATTTCAACTTAGGACATTTCACGTAAAATGCCTCATAAATAAAGTTACTTATATAATTAGTACATTTTTTAATATTTTAAAAACAAGAAATATATTTGATATTTGAAGAGTGGCATGACAAAAAGGGCCAAGCCACAATTTCATGAATTTACAGGAAACAAAAATAAAACATTTAAAAATTTTCCTGTTCATTTAAAAAAAATCTAAAAAAAACCGTTTCGAGATATTATTTTGCTTTACCAGTGGAAATACAATTTATGAAGATAAACCCACAGATTAGTGAGAAAAATAAGTAAAAGTGACCCATTTTGGGGTTACGTCAAATGCCCATATTTTCTTTTAAAATTAATTGTTAAAAAAATATTCAGTTTAAAGAAGAACTGAAAAATTAGTTTGTTAATATTGAATTGATGAATTAAATGCAAAAAAGTTTGCTTAAAAAAAATTGTTTGATTTCAAGAAAAATGTAAATTAAATACTTATTTCTAAAAGTAAACAGTAACGAAATTTTCAAATGCAAACTACAATAAGGAATATTTAAAAATTAACTAAAGAATAATATTTAAATTGTTGAAAATTAAATAAAGGATAAAACTATTTCTAAATAGACATAAAATTTTCTAGAAAAATTTAACATATAGGTTTAATAAAATATCAAAAATAAGGAATATTTTTAACCATATTAACCTAATCATAATAATATTCATTTCTTTTGTTTTTTAACTGAATTGCATTGTAAGTAGAAATTTATGCTATTTTTTATTCTTATTTTTATTAAAAACGAGTTTAAAAACATAATTTACAAGAAAATCCTTTTACAGAACTGTGTAAAAAGTGTGACGTAATTTATTGACGAAGCCCTATCAGAAAGTAGTTTTAGTAAGCTAGAAATAGAATTTAACATTTATCCTTAGCATGAGGCTAAATGTTAAAAAAACAAAATTTTCAAAAAGGATAAAGCATGTATTTTATGCGAAAATATCAAAAACTTTTTTATTGAAAATTTTTGAGAACAAGTTCCCCTCCAATTTTGATCTATACATATTTGCATCTAAGCGGATTTATTGTATAATAAAATCATTTATGCAAAGTTTAACATTTAATCCCAGTCTCCCCTACAGTACCGTCCGAAATTGTGAGTCCACCCATTTTCAAAGGAATGACAAAAATTTTTTAACATAAAATTCATGAAAAGTAAAATTTTTTTTGGTTTATATTTTGAAAGACGATAAAATTTTGAAAAGAATAAGACCTTGCAGAAGTCATTTGGCCAAAATTTGTAGAAGATATTCTTAAAAATCGTCATTTTCAATGTTTTACAAAAATTTGAATAACTTCTAAAATAATGAACGCTTTTTAATAATCTTAGGCTTATTTTAAAGACCATTTTCTACATAATAAGAATTACTTATAGGCATTAACCTGTAATTTTTAACTTGGAATAAGCATGACGTCAAAGTTGGACAAAAAAATTCAAAAAATTTGAAATAATATTATTAAAAGAAAAATAATTTTTGAAATTCAAACATATATTTTTATTAAATTTTCTTGAAAAATCTACACCATATCATGTTTTATATATGTTCTAGAATAGTTTTTAGTACAAAAAATTGATTTTAAATTTTTCCAATTTTTTTGTCTAATTTTGACGTCATGCTTATTCCAAGTTAAAAATGACAGGTTAATGCCTATAAGTAATTCTTATTCCGTAGAAAAAGACCTTTAAAATAAGCCTAAGATTATTAAAAAGCGTTCATTATTTTAGAAGTTATTTAAATTTTTGTAAAACATTGAAAATGACGATTTTTAGGAATATCTTCTACAAATTTTGGCCAAATGACTTCTGTAAGGTCTTATTCTTTTCAAAATTTTATCGTCTTTCAAAATATAAACCAAAAAAAAATTTTAGTTTTCATGAATTTTATGTTAAAAAATTTTTGTCATTCCTTTAAAAATGGGTGGACTGACAATTGCGGACGGTACTGTACCTATAAATGATATTAATAATAAAAAAATAATATATGGGTAAAAATAAAAAAATCGACAATATGTGCCTAACTCTTTAAAAGATAATAAAATCTTTGAAATGTTGAAAAAATTGTCTGTTTTGTT